CCCCTGGTCTGGCCTTGGCTGACTTCAGTCCTAGTTACCTTTGGAATTTTCCGTTAGGGGGGGGAAAAATAATTTCGTAAGTGGTTAACTGGGCCTTAATAACCTGGTAAGTCAACACCTAATTTCGTATATGTTCTACACCTTGATCAATATCAAGGTGTCTGTTCCATTGTCTTTATTAGTCATGGCATTTTTGAATATAGAAAGTAAGACCTGATCATATGAGTGACAGATAGTTACAGTGATATTTCATATAGCCATGCAATTAAAAGCAAAGAGCATCAGTTACTTTCCGTTATTTTGAGACAGCAAACTCAATCCAGTCTCAATCACTACACACAAAGGACAGCGTGATCCGGCTGTAATTGTTTGATGTAGCATGTGTCCCAGTGCTGGAGTTAGCAGTGTGGTATAATCTGATTATAGAGTCTCCACTCTGGTTGAGTGGACGGCATTGTACCAGTGGACTGATCTGACTGTATTTATTCTGTTCTTTGCCCACTCGTCCCCTGGTGCCGTTTTAGCATTATTCTGATTCTGCTTGATTATGATGTAAGGCCTCGGATTAAGAGTTTGAGAAGTCGTTTTTTTGCAGCTTTCACCACATGAGAAATTAGTAAACAATGAAAGCATGAACAATGCTCTGGACAGGATCAACTGTACAATAATGAAGTTCCCTTTACCTGCTACTGTGACAATCATAATCAAGATATTTTGTTAAAATCATCTCTTTAGTACGAATATAAGTCTCTAATACTGATGTTGCTTCATGTTTGTGTTTGTTACTACAGATCTTCAGCTTCCAGCAACAGAGCCAGACATCAACAATCGCCTTGAGTCTCTGTGTCTGAGCATGACAGAGCACGCCTTGGGAGGTAACAACGTTTTATTTGACTCTTATTATTAATATGTTAGTTGTTCATTAGCATGTGATGCTCCCCACCTGTCACCCTCTCTCTCTCTCTTACATTACATGAGCACTATTTTGCGATCATAGAGAAATGTAGTTCTTCAATACCCAGTACATGGTCATCATATCAGTCAGGTGTCAGGTGACTGCAGACTGCAGTGTCTGACCTTTTTGTTCCAACTGAATTATCTCAGCTGTTGAAAAGGAATCCACTTTGGTTCCAGGCTGCAGTGGCACGGTTTGATTTGAAAACTTTTTTCAGTTTCAATTTCCTCATTTTGTGGCCAGGATTTGTTGTGATAGAACTGCACAGGTAGCAAACAACTGGATAAACCCTGTAGTGTTTATACCACACTGCATGTTGTAAAATGTCCCAGCTTCGGTTCGCCGATCTTACGGGCTTCATCATACCCCGAGTTAAACTTGTAAACATGATACTTTCAGCTTCAGTTATAAAATCTTTTGTAAATGCCAGCAGTCGACCGACCTAGACACTTCTGCGTTAACTTTTAAAACCTAAAGCAAACTATAAAGTGTCCGAACATCATATCAGTCTGTCAATTAGTGAAACATTTTAACAATAGCTCGCCTAAATTGATAAAAAATACTGATGTTAAGCTGACTGTCCATTCCATCATCAGCTTTAAGTCTGGAGGTGTTTCACCCATCAATCATTTCGGACATGTTGAATCCGAAGCAAGGGCTTTGCGTTATATTATATATTTTGGTGAAGTTTGGTTCATTAGTTCCAAAAGTCTACAAGTTTGAAATATTAGGGCAATTATTTTAATTTCGGAACGGAGTTCAGCTCAAAAGGTGAATAGAATGTGACGATCCACAGACAAAAGATGGTTGTAGCCAAGTGCCAACCTCCAGTGCTGAAAAATGAAGCCAACATCCATATGCCAAAAACTGCAGTTCCTTCAATCCCCATTCAAATTGAAATGCCACATTTTACAGCAGAAATAAACATGTTTACTACCTGGCCTAATTCTTTAGATAATTTCCCCACTATTAGAACTGTTGAGTGGGTGAATGATTGAATAACCCATATAAATGATATTAAAGGGTTTAAGTTACTCATTATTTAGGTTGCGGTTTGTTTGAACTGACAGGGTGACGTCAGAGCCGTTAGCTGCCTCACCCGGGCCCTCCTCAACTCCACCAACTTTTGGATTAGTCTGGATTAAGGCGCTGTCGTCACTGACAAGATGGCATTGACCCGAGCCACACACATAAAGAGAGACTACATCTATTATTGGTGCTCTTGGTTTATAGCAACATGGAAACCACTAGAAAACAATCTTTTCAAAGCTATGGGAATTTGAAAACCCTTAAATGGCCAACACTATGAAAATGCCTGAAAACACATAAAGAAAACCTAGATTATGGTGTAGTTGACATGGCATAAATCGAGTCAGTCATTGGCTGCCCTGGCTTGTGCAGAATATTCCCATACAGTGAGTTTCAGTCTGGGTTAAAGTCAGTGCCAACTCCCCCCGTCTCAGAGCTGGACTGATGTCAGGACAGTGGGCCTCAGTGCTCGGAGCAGAGCAGTGGACAAGTGCTGCTTTGTGTGTGTGTTGGAGGAGGCTGTGTGTTTGGTGGAGAGCAGAACCAAAGAGTGTGTTTAACTTAGGAAAAAGTCAGACTTTCCCCTCCTTCTAGCCTTTGCACACCTAGCCGGCTGTGGTGAGCTTCACAAACACGACTTGGTAACTGAAGCCAAACGTGCTACAGGAAATGATTTGAAACACAATGTATCATGGGTACAAGAAGAAGAATGTGGATGTTTTATAACGTCCATTCTTTATTTTTCTGTGTGTGGCATCAACCCACCCTTTCAGTGTCATGATGGAATCAAATATTCCACCAGTGTGTAGCTTGATAACATTATCCTCCGAGCCACACCAGAGGCAACAGCTGTCAGCCTGTTGTTTTCCTCTGCACCGCTCTATCACTATTTATACAGATGTGTTGTTCTCCCATCATGACAGTGTGGGCTCCGGCCCCTCACTGTTCACCAAGTCAGAAACCGCCTCAGGCCTTCCATCACTACTATTCTTCATATCAGATGGGATTTAATAAAACAGAGCTTAATAAATAATAAATAACCTGTAGCCAAAGAGCAATGGTTAGAACGTGGTAAGAAGAAATGTACTGCAGGAAAGCAACGAACAAGACGAAGAGAGGTACTTGTATATGTATGAAGGCTAATCCATATACAAGTGCATGAGAAGTGTGGTAGAAATACTGTAGGTTTCCTTGTTAATGTTTTCTCTCAAATTTGAGGAATGTTGTCTTTTAATTCCACTGCTAACAGTTCTTTCTTCATCAGGACCTAACTGCGATAACACTAACCCTATCTGAGTACGCTGATTCAGTTAACACGTCTGGCATATAGAATCCAGGGTCCTGATGAAGACAGAACTGTAACATTGAACAGAGGATCAGTGGTTTGGATCCCCAGACCCTTGCTCCCGTAGGCATGGTTATGGTTCTGAAATTAAGTTGTTTTGGAATAAAGCATCAGCTCAACGACGTGTTAACGTGTCTACCTCTCTCTGCTGTTCCTCTTTAGACGGTGCTGACCGCACATCAACGATATGAAGCGGAGACCTGAGCGAGAGCAGTGGGACGGCGCGGGTTCACGAGGCTCTCTCACGATAAGTCACCTCGAGGCCACCAGCCCTCCTGTCCCCTCTGCTTGTAGCCAACGGTAGAGCTCAACCAAAGGATCGGGGCGGGATCCAAGACCCCGCAGAGAGCGCCCTCATCAAACGGCTAACGCTATCACATTGGCACCGTCCATCGGGTCAGAAAAAAAACACTTCCTGCTCCGCCAGCATCTGGGTGAGGAGAGAGGACAAGCCTTGAACACGGCTTGGACAGTGTGTGAACAGCGCCCACCCCCTGACCCCCACCCTCCGGCAGGCCAGAAGCAGTACTGCAGGCCAGCAGAAGGGAGACGCTGGCCTGAGACGCTGGCCTGCGGATAACACTGAGGCCCCCCCCAGCACATCATTGACCACAACTCGTGGCATTCTTCAAATTCGTTACAGTACCTCAGAGCCAAAAACAAGACGAGCTAAGAGGAAGTTTGGGATTTCCTTGACTGTATTCGTAGAGCTCGGGAAGGTCCTCTTGCTCAGTATTTGGGGGGGGGGGAAACAAAATCATTTATTTGTATTGTATGTATTTATTGTTTACATAATGATGCTACTTTCAAAGGGTACAAAAACATGTATGAATTTCAGGTATGAATCGTGAAATTGTCTGTAAAGCCTTGGCTGTCTACCAGCTTTACGTCCCGAGTAGCCATCACGCTAGTTTACAACCAACGTGCTTATTCTTTATTTTAGCAGCCAAGACATGTCGGCTTGAACAAGAGAGAGAACGAGAGAGGAGGGAGAGAAAGAGGCAGGTGTGTGGAGATGAGAGGTAGGAGACAGACACAGGAAGTAGTAGAAGAGAGAGTGGAGCTGAGGTGAAACTGGAAAGGGAAGCGGATGTTTAAAGGAGGAAGGCGTCAGAGGCGGGACCTCTGATCAGCCGAAGACGACCGAGGAAGATGACGCCATGTCTAATCATGTTGTTCACGTGAGCGAGTGTCGGAGGAAGTGAGTTTGGCAGCGGTCAGTTACACATTGTTTATCCACAGCATGTACTGTATGAACTCTTTTGAATTCAGAGCCTTTAAAGGCAACAATACATTGAAAATGTAGAGTTTTTTTTATAAATGGGAGATTGATATTGTCAGTGGGATCTGTCTGCATGTTCAGATACTGGGTTTAGTTTGTTTTTTTAAAGCAGGGTGATATGCTTAAGCTGCATGTTACAACTAAATATCTTTTTTGGGGGGTACAGGAAGATTGTGAAATGTGGAGAAGACGACAGAGAAAACAAAACAAGAGGGCTATTTGGTTTCCACTCAGACCATGTTGCAACATGGGAGAAATCACACACTGTCAATCCATGAAGGGTAGCTTTCCCAGAGATTGTCTCATTAGTGCTTACCTCCACCTGCTGGCCGACCGCAGTCAGAGCGGGGCAGACGCCTGTGAACACGCAGGCAGATTATACACACATCATTGGTGAGCGTTATAATTAGGAAATGTTAATGCTGCAGGAAATCCCTCACAGATCGCGGTGTCACATGGTCTTCTGTCTGCTCCGGGCCGCTATAGCATTTATTTTCTTTCTTTTTTAGATACTGACTCTTCTGGTTATTCTGTGTCTTAATATTTATCCTCCGATTATTGTGTCTGGTAGACAGACTTCATAAGAACAGATTGATGGAAAATAAGCTGGTATGAAAACTCTCCAACTAAATGGTCATCATCCAGGGTTATTGATTATTATTGTTTAGTTTCTTTAGTTTGTTGCAATTCTATAGTACTTCCTTTGTATCCTGCACTTGATATGATAATGTGATACACTAAAATCCAGCTTTGGAGTCGGAGCAGATTGGAGGCAGAAGTGGAGCGGTAGAACCACAACAAGTGGCCATTATCCCACCGCTTTTGAGTCTGATGGTGGATCTGGAGCTGAAGATGCTTTGTCTTCTCGTGTCGCTCATCGCTAGAGGACCATGCCAGGGTTTTTGCATGTTTTGCTCATCTACAAACCTTTTAAAACACTCTGTGTTACTATAAACTATACTTATTTTATGTGTTTCAAACCTTCAAGATTGCACAGGAAAGAAAATCATGACAGAAATAAAAAACACTACAGTACAATACATTCAGTGTGTGTCTAAAGAGCTAAAACATGCAGATAGACTGTGATGGTGCCTGAGAGTGGATCAGATGCAGTGATGGCGGCTTGAAGCTGCAGTATGGATCAGTGCACACACACACACACACACACACACACACACACACACACACACACACACACACAGAGGACAGTGTATGTGTGTTAGTGGCAACAGTGCACTGCTTCAGTCGTGTGTTTTCTGCACCTTGAGTCTGTAGCCAATCAGAAGTGGTCCGTACGTTTGAAGATGAAGATTCCACCAAAGCATGAACTGATGTCTCACCTTTCTGTCTGACGCTCTTCGCTGAGAAGCATCGGAGCCTGTTCCGATGTCACTGCCATATGAATCAGTACTTAAAGTAGATACAATTATTTATTCTTTTTTTCATAATTTTTGCAGAGGTGATACTTTTACTCATTTAGGTGTATTATTATTTAAAGTACCATATGTATTAACATGTTATGGCTGGTGACCATACGTACATCTCAAATATTAACATAGTTATTGTTGACTTTGACTGTTAACTTTTCTTTCTCGTCGTTGCTGTTGTTAAACTATAATCTTGTTTGTATCTATCAGTGTCATGTTGAGATTTGTTTTCATGTGAACTCGGAGCGTGATGCGTGTTCAGTTACCAAATTCACTTCAGAAGAACTGTCAGCAAACAGAACCAGCGGGGTGTTGTTGTAGGCTTTGGCATGCCAGGAAGTAGACTGGTCCATTGTGACCTAGTTACCACCTCACTGCATGGTCCTGAGGTGAACAATCTAGGTTGAAATGTGTGTTACTTTAAAGAATGAGGCTGGCATTATTCGACATATCTTCATGTCAACAAATCCTATGAAAAGATCAAATTCTAAAGATGTAGACTTTCAAAAACTTGGAGGAAACACTGCATTTGTTGGGGACTATTTCCAGCAGCGGATGAATCTATATTTGGTGCTATGGATGATTTGAGGCAGTAGGACATTGTATGATGGATTGACTGAAATGAACTACAATGGTTTTGCATTGTAAGGAAGGAACATGTCAACCAATGCAACAGTGAGGCTTATCGATCTGTGTTTAATCATTTGATAAGTGTTATAGCAAAGAAGTTATATCAGGAGTTGATACACAGTGTTGGTTTTGGTCTTTTCATAGGATTTGTTTATGTTAAAAATAGTAGAGAGCATCACCAGACCTGTCCTTTACGCCTCATGTGTTAAGATAAACCAACCTGCAGTCTGTAATGTAATCAAAGGGATTATTGAAACTGTCGTACACTTGCAGTATTTTGATTTACTTCACCTTGCCATGTTTGAGTTATAAAGGTGTTGAAACAAAGTTTTTAGTTTTGCATAAAAACACTACTTTTTGTCTGTGACTGACAGCATTCATAACGTGAGTTTATGGGATGTTTCTATGCGTGCAGAGTAACATAGTAACGTTACATGTTGTGTATTTGCAGTCACAGAGCGTCTGTGTGACGGGACAGTGGAGAGTTACAGCTCTGAGGGTCATTACACATCTCTTCAAACCAAATGCTTTATTTGTTCTAATGCATATCAGCTCTGTGGGAGTCCAGGAGTGCTAACGCTGTGCTCACTGCAGTATTAACCGTTAGATATCGCCTTGATATTCCAAAAAAAACATTTAATGTACTTTAAGTTGAGACATATATGCTGTTTTGTATCTTTTACTTTTTGTCATAGGTTCTGCAGTTTTAGTATGTTGATATGGGATGCCAAGATTTCTCTTTTTTCTCTGTGTGTTCAGCAGCATCTATTCTGTAACTAAGGTTACCGCTTGACTGCTCCTTTATTTTATTTTGTTTTATTTTATCAAAGAGCCGATGTCCTGTATTGACTGCAGGCTTACATATATATTTGACAAAAGAATATTGTATGTTTAATAATAAAAAAACTCAAAAAGACAAAAAAGTGCAGAAAAAAAGAAATGGAGAAAATTGAAAGAAAGAAATGTGTAATTTATATTTCCAAAGTGCATGCACGAGGCGGGGAAGGTCATATTTAGAATAACAAATGGCAGTGCCTTTTTTTGTACTCGAGACATTCACCCCAAATGTAAATGTTTTTATATAGACTTTAAAAGCTGTTGTGTTACAGGATGAAACGGCTGTGTCGGGCTACACTCACACTGCAGCTGCACGTCCCCATTCAGACCTCCCCCCCAAGGTGTTATGTAGATAAAGAACAGATGAAAGTGTTAACTCATCCAAGGATTGTCTAGATGTAAACCTGATCCACATGAACAAATGAAAGAGAGTTATTTTAGATTCGAGGAGACAACTTATAATAAGCTGACTATGTTCTTAATTAATTTGTCATTCATTCGGACTCAAATCTGTAGTCAAAATGTCTGTTAAATTCTTTCCATTGACTTTTGCTTGACCAAGATGAGATTAAAATGAGAAGAGAAAGGAATCGTCTAATATTTCCTCCATGTGTTTAACACTTAGTGTTCATGTAGACAGTACATCACTGTGGCAGCAATACTGACCATATCAAGCAGAACCTGAAACCATGAACACTGACTTATACTTTCTTATGATACTCAATTGTATTTAGATTAGCTTGGTCTTTACACGTAGACCAATCATCTAAATGAATCCTCTGAGGACACAAAGTTGAGGATCTGGAGAGAATATGATCAAGTTTAATCAAAATCCAATTCATAAATCAAAGCGAAACTCAATAAGTGATGTCCAGTTTACTGCACATGGTTGAAAATAAGTATTGTGAACTTTAGGCCACATTTAAAGCATCTTCATGTTTGATGTTTGCTACTCTCAAGAGCTAAATGTGATCAAACACAAAGTTGATCTGAATGTAGCGTGGGGGGTGCAGTGTGAGCGAGGCCCGGGCGGTGAACTGGGTCTGTTGTTTTCTGTCCTCTGTAGGTACTTAATGCTGATATAAAGTTATCAATTGCTCTGGTCTGTACAAACATGTGTGAATGAGTGTGAATGTGAGTGTGTGTGAAAACATTCAAGTGTTATTCAATGTGTCTTGCTGTATCTGTGTGGCGACGTACCAGAATGCTGTGACTTGGCATGCCCCCATTATAAATAAAGAAAAGTTGTAACTGTGTGTGTGTGTGTGTGTGTGTGTGTGTGTGTGTGTGTGTGTGTGTGTGTGTGTGTGTGTGTGTGTGTGTGTGTGTGTGTGTGTGTGTGTGTGTGTGTCAGAGTTTGCAGTGTTTTAATTCAAATGAAGCGCCGGTGTAGATCTGCAGGTTTGAGATGGATTTACAGCATGGGGAAACAATTTAGCGCTTGATATCATACATTAAAGAACAAAGAGAAATGTCAACTGTTGGATTTCCCCTTTCACATAGAGTTGTATAGGTGTTTGTGTATGTAAATGAATGCAAAGGCTACATTCCCAAAGTTCCCTCCAGAGGGAGTTTCTCTCCCACACACTCCCCCCACCCCCCCTGAAACTCCTGCATTGGACTCCTTTGTATATTTCTGTAACATAGTGACATCACTATGTAACACTCGTGCTTCTATTGGCTAGTGCTCCAACACATTGTACTTGATAGGCTGAAGGGTGGCACATATTTAAGCCCTTAACCAATAACATTAGAGCTGGTCTGCTTACCAATCAGAGCACATTTACTCACACACACTTCATGTCTTAGTCTTTTATTTTCGTGCCACTATATATTTCTATTCTTGTAGGTTGTTTTTTTCCAAAAGCTTTATTTATTGATTTGAATAACTTCACAAATCAAGATTTTTGCAAACAAAACATATGATTCTATGCTTTTTTATTTTTAAGAAATCATATTTTGTCCCCCACATATTAACTAACAACCAAAAAGATCATTTTAAACATATTTTCACACGCTGAAAATCTTTTAGAGCCTGTAGTGAACAGAATGATGAAAATTGTCCAGATGCTCAGGGAATTGTTGAGGAAAGGCATGCACTATTCTGTGACACAGTGTCTTATTGATATGTACCACTGGAGGGTGCTACAGTCGTAGTGACTGCAATGAAAAACTAGTTCATATTTATAATATTTTCTTTGTGAACCAAATGTAACACAAACCAATCACTATATTATCAGTAAGGGTGTGATACACTCCTATTGTGTCTCTTCGTGTCAGTGACACATTTTTACACTATCAAACAGTAAAGCCTGAGCATGCTCTGTGGGTCTTTCACCTCTCTGGATGTCCTCAACTTGGTAACGTCAGAACAAACTATGAAGGTTTACATTATAGAGTGTAACACACTGTTAGAGGAGGCAGATTGAAAACCAGAACCTCTGCTTAATGAAATACATGGATGTGATGTAACAGATCTGAGAGCTGCTGAGTCATGCCTCTGTCAGACATCCAGACCAGCTCGCTCTGGGCTCAGGGCCAGATGAACCCTCTCATTGGCCAAGGGGTGTTAAAATAGAGCTGTGGGCCCCTCTTGTTCTCCACAACCAGTTTGGATCCTTCCATATATGTTTATACATTTTCCAGAGTTATGAGCTTGCAGTTGTTACTGAGCTTACTGTTGCAGCAACAGTTGCTGTCAGCTGTTACAGGTTCAGCGTGAACCTTCAGCCAGAACACAGGTAACACAAGTAAAAACATAAATTCTTCATTGTTACAGTAGTCCGTTACCAAATATACCGTAAAAGAACACATGGCACATATGGAGAATTATTATCTTTTCAGAATAGAATATATATTATTTTACTGGATTTTGTAATGAATTGTTTTAGTAATCTTAATACCTGAATCAATTATTTAAAAGAAAAGGAGCTACATGTTTGGATGTGGTACTAATGAATCACTTTAAAAGATGTATTATAATATAAATAGCTAACATTTACACAACCTTTTTGTATCGTGTAGCTATGAAGCTAGCAGAGAAAGACAATATAATGGGTTCAGTTTAAGTGAACACACATGTGAATTGTGTGTGGTGTATTGTGAGGAGACACACACTTGTTGCTGTCACATAGAGATTTATTTTTCTTTGATTAAAAAGTATCTGGAATGAACAAAGTACAGAAAGTGACACTGATGGTGAAGGGGCCACACAACAGGCCACTCTTCTCAACAAGGCCACAAAAACAACAACATCTTCAGAGCTGACTCTTAGAGCTCATCTCTCCTTGAAAACACAGAGACACACACATGCACACATACATTTCACAAAATAAAACCTTCCAATATCAGTCTGGGGACATCATTACGCAATCAAATGCTAAAAGTATGCTACACGTGAAAAAACAAAGTCACTAAACAACACACACACACACACACATTTAATTTGCCTCTTGAGAAATTCAAAATGTTTCAGTTTGCTTTAAGACGGTGAGTATTCATAAAGAGGCGAGTTGGCACATACAGGCTGGTCCACGCAGGACCGTAATATTATTTATAATTTATTTAAAAACTTAAAGTGAAAAAGTAGAATACTGTTTTTTCTCTCAGATGCAGATGTTTTACTGCAGGTAATCCAGCGATGTCCAACAAATACAAACTGTGATGAACCCATTGTGTTCATCAATGTTGCAAACTATTTTCTACCAATTATGTAATCCTCCAACAGTAAACACTGCTTCTAATCCTCTAATATTCATGTATTTGGGAGACACATCATCTCTCACAAAGCTGACATGTTTTCTGAATTCATCTCAGACCAAAAAAGTACATTATTTTAAAGTTTTGTTGTCTTTTGTCTAACTTGGACAGGTGTCAGCTACTTTTGGCCTCATGATGTTTCGTGAATATGTCTCCGGCTATAAGGATCCGTGAGGATACTTTACATCACTTAGCACATTTGAGTTTTGTCTATGTGTATCTGACTATGTAAAGGGATTTCAAACAGTCTTCTTTTCAAACTGTCCCCTGTATTTCCAGGAAAACAAAAAACTCAGATAGACCAAAGGGGGGTAAGTTTGTCCTTTTGTCCTAAAAAAAGTAAACAACATGTTAATCTGTGGTCTCCAACACAGAAATCACCACGGTAACGCTTCACCTTATCTGACCAATACAAAGAGTTGGATGGAAAACAGTCAGGAGTGGACTCTTGTCTCTGCAGTTGGTGAGATGGAAACACACACACACACACACACACACACACACACACACACACACACACACACACACACACACACACACACACACACACACACACACACACACACAGGTAGCCCGTGGAGGTAACCCCAGGCAACAGGAGGATGAAGAAGAGCTTCTTCGTCCTCAGCTCCTGATCAGCGTCAGAAACTCATCACGGGTTTTCGGATCTTCCCTGAAGACTCCCAACATGGTGCTGGTGACGGTTTTACTGTTCATCTTCTGAACGCCTCGCATCACCATACACATGTGACTGCAGAGAGGAAGAATGGGGGGGGGAGGGTTAGAACAACAGGCAGAGGGGGGAAGGAAGATCAATATAAAAGATGAAATGTAAAATACATATAGTTTAAAGGGGTCATATTATGCTTTTCAGAGTTTCCCTTATATTGGTTTTTGTGCATGTAAATAGTCTGTAAAGGCTACAATCCCAGAGGGAGTTTCTCTAGGAAATGATGTGATTGGCAGAAGAATAAAGGTGGAAGAGGAGAGAAAGGAATTAAGTTGAAGGAAATCAAACCAAACTAAAAGGAGAAAGGAATGATCAGATATTTGACCCAGTTGTTAGTGGGCAAAGGTCTACGTACGTTGCCTCGATGACCACCCCCACCCCGGTAGGCTGCAGGGCCTCTGTGATCGCCACGGCTATCTGTTTGGTCAACCTCTCCTGAACTTTGAACGGACAGAGGGACAAACATGAACCCGGTTAGACAGAACAAACAACATGAAGTGAAACAAATGAAAGCACTGGCCTGACGGATCTACGTACCTTGTAGTCGACGGCTGTAGATTTCAACAATCCTGAAAGGGAGAGAAAGTAAATGCTCAGTCGATAAAATATCAATGCCTTCTTCTTCTGTGTCCTACAGCTCTATTGTTGTCAAATAAATAATACAATTAAAACACACAAGCTGGAAGGAAGCAGAAGGAAAATGAACAGATCTGGGACCCGGGCATCACCTCCGACCTGTTGCTCTTCTCTGTGAGTAAAACTACTTCAGACACTTTTCACCTCATCCACCTCCAAGGAAATGTCAACAGGACCAAACGTGCAGCATGAACAGAGGCAAGGCATTCTTAAAGGAAAGGAAAGTGCGGCTGCATACAACAAATAAAAAGCTACTTCAAAGAAGACGAGGAAATGCCCTTCGTCCAGTCAGTCGTTCACTTATGGGGAATTATGTTCTCAAAAATATATTTCCACTGTTTGCAATTTGTCCACTGTTGTTCCACTTTATTATATGTTGTGTTTACTTGAATATATATTTAAGGTGATTAATTAAGACCCTAGATTTACGAAGCCATGGTTTCCCATGAAACAGTCCCATAGTATTTCTTCATTGAAGTCTCAGGTTGAGCAGGACATGAAAGGGACATTTATATTGATTCAATTAGCGCCAATAAAATGTGAATGGATCAGCTGTTCTCATCGTTGTCATTGAGGGGTGTTACTGCAATAAGCCTGAAGGTATTGGGGTCAGTCGGATCAGATTCTACACTAGTAAACACACACCTTTTAATAATCAGCTTACACACACACACACACACACACACACACACACACACACACCTTAACAATTAGGGTAAATACACTCACCTGGCCAGCTTACTGAGGCCCAGAACTCTCTTGTTGGGAAGGTAACCGATGTGAACCTGCCAACAGTGGGATTAAAAAGATGAAGTCATCTAATCAAAGATTAAATAATTGGGATGAATTACACAGTCTGCTTTCAGTAATGAAAGGACTCATGCATCACATGTGAGCAACACTGCTAGATGAAGTGTATCTGTGGGCTTTCACTGCCCAGCTTAGTTGGCAATGATTTCACTAATAGCAGCAACACACATCGTTTCAGATGGAGTTCATCATGTGTATTCGTTCTGGAAGAATAGCATGCGACATGGGGAATTCAATTGATTATCTAACATGCAACCTTACATTCTCCCGGGGGGCCCAATTGGGGGATTCAGATACAAGTTGTGATCACAACATCAACATTTTCACTCAAAAATATTACTGTTTGTGTCTGCCTGATGGATGTAAGTCCGATAATCATACATTTTTAGCTCTGTTTTTGGTCTCTACCATCTCCTGACGCAAATGTATTTTGATCCCTTCAGCTGCTGATTCATCCTCTATGTTCAGGAGTGTCTGTTTGCTGTTTGGTAGGAAGTGTACAGTGGGTTTTACAGCTGATTCTCTGGAAACGGCTGCCTGCTGCGGCTGAAAACAACACTTTAAGAGTTAACAGTGATCTGAAAGGCAGTTTAAAGCTCTGCAAAGCTGAGTCAGCAACAAACAAACAAACTGCCCTAGCTTTAGTTTAGGTGCAATTCACAGTTTATATAAACATAATAGCTTTGTCATGTTTTCCTCCTCCAACTGAAGTTTTGGCTTAGTGTTATTTACTTTACTTCAAGAAAATTCCACAAAAATATAAAAAATGTTGTGGTATTCCCGAAAAAGCAGATGTTTTCACTTAAGTGTACTTTAAGTTAAAGGGGACCTATCATGCAAAATGTACTTTTGTACGTCTTTTATACATGAATATGTGTCCCCAGTGTCAGAAAACACAACCCTCTCTATTTTCCTCCATACCAAAATCTCTAAAAAAGGGGCTGCAACGGATCTGATACAGACTGATTCGGATTTGAACACTGTCCTGACGTCAGGACGGTGGCGCTACGGCTATTGGTCAATTCTCCACCTTTCAGGGGAATGAGAGGTTGGGCCACGGCCGGCCATTGCTGCTCGAAAGCGCTGGAGACGCTGTAGTACATATGCCAGGCCTGTAAGTGGCGCTGTAGTCTGCCACAAAAGCAGCAAAGAAGACTTCCCTTGCATGGTTGCCAGGGTTGCCCTTCTGTTTATTCTCCGCTGTGGCTCTTTTTGTCCCTCCCCGAGGAAAGCGTCTGCGCCTCCTGCTTTAAAAGAAATGAATGATGACTCTATATAATCATATGTAAGGGATAATGTGCAGCGACGCGGTCATTATGGGGAAAAGAACACCGACAGGCTGATCAGGAGCCGACACGAAGCGGAGGGATCTAGATGATGAGGCATGATCTGTTTGGTATTTTGAAAAAAAAACTATATTTATATACTTTATATCGGTATGGCCCTACAATATTGTTTCAAATATAGCATGATAGGTCCACTTTAAGTGAATAACAGTTTTAAAACACACACTAAACGACCAGAAATCTAGATGACACACTGAGAGCAGAGCAGGTGGATGAACAACAGACGAGAGGAGGAAGAGACAGAGGCATCAGCTGAAGAATCACTGCTGTGGATGTCTGGAGGCTCTAATTCTCGTACGTGCACGCACACACGCGCGCGTGCGTGCGCGCGCGCACACACCCACCCACCCACACACACACACACACACACACACACACACACCACTCAAATGTCAGACGCAATTTGAGACAAGACGAGAGAAAGGGCAGCGGCAACTAGCGTGCAAAGATCTCTTTTCTTCTGTTTCCTCCCTCTCTACTGCAGCGGCCTGACATATCGACATCAAACAGACCGACTGTGACGGCTCCTTCTCCACTTATCTTTCATGCTGTCTTTCTTTTTTACTGGCAAATCCTGGGTTTGACGATAGGGCACGGTTAAAAATAAATAAATGTGTTTAATTTAAGAAAATGTAAGATAAAAGCTTAAAAAAGCTCTGATTGATCCAGCAATAAACACCTGGTGGACAATGTCAGCAAGTTGGGGAAGAAAGTGAAACGTTTATCCGCTAAAGAAAAAAATATCGTTGGTGGAGGGGAAAAAGAGCTAGAAGGGGTGTGAATATGACTCCAGATGAGGGCTGATGTTGCTCTGTGTCTAATAGATGTGCACAGTATAAGCAACTGTTTGCAACATGTTAAAGCGGACAACTTTACAGGACGACAATATTTTTCCACTGCCAATCCTTCTGCCCTCTTGTGGCCAAAAAGTCTCAATTAATGCAGTTTTAAGTTCCTCCAACATTTTGAAAAGACTGACGGTATAAACACATCGGTAGTTAATTCCATACACCTAGCTAAAACTAGAAAAAGCCTTTCACAACTGCTGTATTTTAATTTAGGAGGATACAGTTTGTGGTGCTGTTAAATCATATTGACTCATATACTGGCTCTTCTATTATTATGTCCACCTCATTTATATCAATAAAGAAAGGCTAAATCAAAGCCTGTAAAGTTAAATCAACACCTTACATTCGAATAAAGTAGCATTTACTGTAGAGTGGTCGAATTAGACTACAATTTAGACAATTGTCCCTAATAAAGAGGGAACTGAGTGTAAATGAAATATTTAATCCTATGGCTGCTTTATTCCATCAAATGAAAAATACTTTGGATGTGCATCCCTTCATACGTACACACTAGCCATTCATCAATTGTCAATACAACGTTTGTTAAAGTTTCTTAAAGAGCTGCTGGTCAGAAAACACATCAAGACAAGCAAATGGTCTTTTGACTTAAAAGTTCGTTTTACACCTTCCTTTATCAAAACATTAAAAGATGCATTATTGCCATTATTGCCTGTTTTTCAGGTCTCAGGCTCGAAAATGACATTCCCAGAACAAATGACCATATCTTCACTTCTAAAAGGGGTAGATTAATAATCTTTTTTCTCAAAGCAAGGTTACATCTGTGAGTTGGATGTAGAAAAGTCAGAATCAATATAGAATTTTTTATTTTAAAGTAAATTCAGATTGAACATAGTAAAAAAAAAAAAAAATTATAGTGTCCGTCCAAAATAAAAAAATTACCTATAGTGAAAACCACCAAATGATGGGATCGGAGACTAAAATCTTTAGGAATCCAAACTATAACATATAAGTACCCTGTATCAAGATTGATGCAAAACAAGTGAAGTTTTACCTTTTTAGAGAGGTTTAGAAGAAAAAAAAACGTACTTCTGGGGTCATTTGGGTGCATTTTCCATATCTCTGGCCCCCCTCGTTTGATTTTGATGATTGACACCTCTTTTTAATCGTTAGAGCCAATAGAATCGAGGGGAAGTTCCTAAAATCCATCTAAACATTGCCCATTGGTGAATAAGTGATGCGTAGCCAGAATGCCTCGGAACCGGAAGCTGCGATACACTCTGGTGGCTACCATTAGCAGCTAATAAAAAATCTCCGATTTTTACATAAAAATTGAATTATGGATTATGAATACTTTTTTCAAAGTGACAGACACATTGGATTAACCTATGGATTAACCTTCAACCGCGTTTTTTCTCATTTTAATGCCATTGAACACGACTTTTGATCAGAATAACAGCTAAGGTGAGACGATCTCCTGTGAATGCTCCGTAAAAATGAAGCAAACACAGACATCACAACACGTATTTTTACGGAGCATTCACAGGAGATCGTCTCACCTTAGCTGTTATTCTGATCAAAAGTCGTGTTCAATGGCATTAAAATGAGAAAAAACGCGGTTGAAGNCATCGAGCCGGGGGTCAGGTTATTCACCCGCAGGAAAAGGCGCTGGCGCGGGACCGTAGCAGGATGTGACGCATATTTTAGTTGACCTAATTAAAACCGTTTTGTTTTTTATTTATGTGTCACAGTATCACCTCAAAATACAAGATACGAAACATTTTCAACCATGCAACAAAATATAAATAGTCCTACAAATACTTTTATTTGATTTCCTTCTTATTTTTGTGTAAGCCTATGGTCTAAGCTCAAGGGAGCCAGAGCAGAGGGCTTAAAGGGCCGCATGCGGCCCGAGAGCCGCGGGTTGCCGACCCCTGCCCTAACCCGTTATGCTGTCCGTGTATGATCCCTCTTTAATTTAAAAACCAAGTTATGTTTTAAGCATGAAAGCTGTAGGCCTATAGCTGTCAACTATTCAAACTGTGATTACCAGTTCAATACATTTGACAAATTCGACTTGGTTTTTATACTTATTTGAACATGTATTTATTTAAAAAAAGAAAATGGTGTACATTTTTTTTTTTATAGGATATGCACATTTCGGTTAATCGGTTAACCGTTTTTTTCGAATATACATTTGCTTTCAAATTCCCGTCCCTAGTTTACACAGGCAGAAGGTTGAAATATGAATGAAACTGATACATGATAAATATGTATTTTTGTTAAGTTTAGAACAAATATAAACATAATTTTTAACAAGAGACAACTACACACGGACCCCAAACCCAATACACACACTGGCACACATAAAATAAAATACAAAGGTTGCCACGGAAAACAATTGTCCTTCCAGATATGCTGTCAGTGTCAAACAGCACATTGGAAAACATGTCCACAGCACATTGTCACAGTCCAAAAAAGTAAACTGCACATCAGGTCAAATACAAAAAACATATCTTATCTGCAGCTGAGCCGCTTTGCTTTCTGATCATAAAGGGGCCATTTTTTTCCAAGAGGAAGCTGCAAATATCAATACTTTAATACAAAAAGCTTGTCTCAAACATGGTGAGAGATGTGTATCTTGAGAAGTCTTTATCAGAGGGCCGCTGATCGGAACAACAGCAACATGAGAGACAATCAGATTAGCTGAGATCTGTTTATCCTCCCTCCCTGCTGCGCTCACAGCATTACTCTCCACTGAGGAACCTGATTGTCCTCCTCCCTCTCTCTGATCCTCCCCCCCCCTGCTCCCCTCACCCACCCTCACCCGCAGGTGCA